TGCCTGGTGTATCAGCCTTTAGCTGCAGAAAAATCACATTAAAAGAGTAATCACCTGGAAATCTGACTTTTCTATGTTAAAATATCTGTGTTAGTGTTAAAACCCTCATTTAAAACCTGCCAGAACATTAAGGATTTGAAAAAGAAAGAAATTCGTCATTCATCTTTTACATCTTCTTAATCATATTTAGTTAGTTTAGCTCAACTGTTTCATGTCCTACCCTGCATACATGAAACTATTTTTGTTAAATGAAATATTTTTGATTAGATAGAAAAACAATGCATGTAACATCACCAATGACCCCTCACACCCCCACCACGGGCTGTTCTCCCTGCTGCCCTCTGGGCCAGCAGGTTTTGTAACAGCTTTTTCCCCACTGCCATCAGACAACTCTAAATCAAGTCACAAATCAAGACTGTATAACACCAAACCAAATAGAACTCGGCTCAATTTTGCACCATAGATGGTTCCATATAAATCCCTGTTTGCACCATTTTTTCTCACAGTTTACATTTGATCACTACTGCACTTTATGAAATGGAAATGTTCATTTCACTGCTCGGCTGCTGCTCATTCACGGTCTGAAAGCTGCACAAAAGCAATTTTTGTTTTGTATACACTGTATACAAAATGACAATAAAAGTTATCCAAGTAGAAACTAGATATAGGCTTTTTTTTAATAGGGTAAGGAATTCTAGGAGATGAAAATGATTCAGACTTAAGGCCAGTGGTTCTTATAACACTCAACTCACAGGGTCACTGACACACACACACTCAGCAGCTAATACTGTTGGATAATGGTTGTGTTTTATTCAATAAAGTGGATTTCCTACTCCAATACAAAAGCTATCAATTCAGCTGGGTGAATACACATGGCGTTTGACATGTGACCGGCGCGCGGCTCAGAGGCCACAGCTTTCCATTAATGGTTCTAAACAGAAAAAAAAAAAGAAACATCACGCCCCCTTTAAACTGTTTTTTATTGATTCTTTTTGTTGCCCGCAGCTCTGCCGACACACATGGACACATATGTCTGACTGAGAGAGAAAAGCAAGGGCGGCTAACAGGTTTAATCAAATTGTTCCCGTTTAATGAATAGAGGAAAACAGACCCGCAGGTGAATACTCTCGCACAGCTGCTCATTTTTTTTGTCCAAAACGTGTGTTTTTTATTTGTCGGATAAATTTATTAGGATGCATTTCTTCCACTGATTTCCATATAGTTTCCTTTGTGTGTTTTAATTGGTCCAGCCGGTTGGTGTTGTCTTGGAAACCAGTTTTAAAAGTGCCGGCTTGAGGTCTGTCAAAGGTTCGGATAAAATTAGCAGCGACGACCCTTTGGAAGCAGCATGGACCCATTTCTGCACACAGAGAGCAGATATTGTTTTGTTTTAGTCAATATCTCCTGGACTGAAATTAAACTTCTCTGAATACAGATCTAAGGCTTCACCGTGAAAGGAGGAAACTCAAACCATGCATCTGTTGATCGGATTACAGAAATATTTATATAATCTAAGCTGCAGTATATTGGCAGGTCTTGGGTTGTGACAGCGGGTAGCTGTCTGATATAATAAGTCTTCCCTATAGGCCTAAATCTGTCTCACTAACCAGTGATGTGTCAGTGTGAGTCAGGGCAAGCTGATGGCGCCTGCCAAAGCCCCATCCTGTTATTTATAGGTCCTTTTTTTCATGCTGTTAGTTTTTCTTGACATAATGAAAACGTATAGACACCTAATTAGGTACATCCTACATGTATTGTCTTGGACATTTTTTCCCCCACCTTTAGAAATGCTTCATTGAATAGATTCAGCTGGCTTTTCTCCCGCTACATCCCAAAATACCTTATTGAGTTGAGACGGGACTGTGAAAGTCATCGCATAACAGAGACTTTCTTCGTATATTTATGAAATAGGCTGAAGATGACGATGGGAGCATTGCAACTACGGATGTTCTCCTAATCAGTACTTGAGTTAAAGGGGGAATGAGGGGGGACGGCATCCCTCTTATTTTAAAAAAATCTTAAAAGTAATCCCCCTTCTTAAATGACCCTCCCTCCATACAATCCCCTGTGCCATTTTATTAAGGAATGTGTAAAATTTCTACCATATATTAACAGTCATGGCAATAATATTGCCCTTTCAACATTACGTGAGCTGTGAGCTTACAAGTAGCCTGAGTAAAATAAATAAAATCAGAGAAGTGTCCTACCATGACAATGAAGCTGATCCAAGTGGGAAATTACACTCACTGGCCACTTTATTAGGTACCCCATGCTAGTAACGG